TCTAGTTCTGTTCTAGTTCTGTTCTAGTTCTGTTCTAGTTCTGTTCTAGTTCTGTTCTAGTTCTGTTCTAGTTCTGTTCTAGTTCTGTTCTAGTTCTGTTCTAGTTCTGTTCTAGTTCTGTTCTAGTTCTGTTCTAGTTCTGTTCTAGTTCTGTTCTAGTTCTGTTCTAGTTCTGTTCTAGTTCTGTTCTAGTTCTGTTCTAGTTCTGTTCTAGTTCTGTTCTAGTTCTGTTCTAGTTCTGTTCTAGTTCTGTTCTAGTTCTGTTCTAGTTCTGTTCTAGTTCTGTTCTAGTTCTGTTCTAGTTCTGTTCTCGTTCTGTTCTAGTTCTGTTCTAGTTCTGTTCTAGTTGTGTTCTAGTTGTGTTCTAGTTGTGTTCTAGTTGTGTTCTAGTTGTGTTCTAGTTGTGTTCTAGTTCTGTTCTAGTTCTGTTATAGTTCTGTTCTAGTTCTGTTCTAGATCTGTTCTAGTTCTGTTCTAGTTCTGTTCTACTTCTGTTCTACTTCTGTTCTAGTTCTGTTCTAGTTTTGTTCTACTTCTGTTCTAGTTCTGTTGTAGTCCTGTTCTACTTCTGTTCTAGTTCTGTTGTAGTTCTGTTCTACTTCTGTTCTAGTTATGTTCTAGTTCTGTTGTAGTCCTGTTCTACTTCTGTTCTAGTTCTGTTGTAGTTCTGTTCTACTTCTGTTCTAGTTATGTTGTAGTTCTGTTCTAGTTCTGTTCTAGTTCTGTTCTAGTTATGTTGTAGTTCTGTTCTAGTTCTGTTCTAGTTCTGTTCTAGTTCTGTTCTAGTTCTGTTCTAGTTCTGTTCTAGTTCTGTTCTAGTTCTGTTCTAGTTCTGTTCTAGTTCTGTTCTAGTTCTGTTCTAGTTCTGTTCTAGTTCTAGTTCTGTTCGAGTTCTGTTCTAGTTCTGTTCTAGTTCTGCTCTAGTTCTGTTCTAGTTCTGTTCTAGTTCTGTTCTAGTTCTGTTCTGTTCTAGTTCTGTTCTATTTCCCTAGTTTCCGGTTAATATTTTTCATTACATCTGGCATCTTTGTTAATTTTACTATGCGCCACTTAGTGTTATTTTTATTATGCCCCATTGGTATACAATGTGGCAAGTGTTTTATTTGAGTTTGTTTTTTTGTTGTTGTTTTTTTCCACGCTGGTGCTAAAAGGGAGGGGAATTACAATCACACAACTTGGGAATTGGTTTAAATATTTTTATTTGAACCGGTTTATTTGTTTTGTTTTTATATTTTTATTTAATATTTTGTTTTTATTTTATCAATCGAATAGAAATGTATTGAAAATGAAGAGTATTTGTTTGGTAGGCAATTTGTAATAACAATTCCATATACATATAATGATGATGATGATGATGATCATTGTGACTGTGAAGTTGAAGTGTGGCATGAATTTTTAATTGAAAAAGGAAACGGTTGATTGCATTTCAAAATAAAGCTCAAATAAATGTCTGTGAAAATTTCACAGTTATTTATTGATTTTAGGCATTTAAAATATTTGTAAAATTTTAAATATATTTTTAATACAGTTATTGGCAATACAATAAAGATTTATTTGCTTTAAAGTTATTAAGATTATTAAGCAGGTTTTTGAAAAAATTAGTAAAATTTTTTAAAAGTGTTTAAGTGTTAATTTATAGATTGAAATGTATAAATAGTATTTTACAAATATTTGTCCCTGACTTCAAAAGTTAAGGAAAAATATTGTAAAAATTTAAAAAAGCGTAACATTTTTTAACAAAAAGTTTTTTTTCAGCAAATTATTTTTTTTTTTTTAAATTATGGTTTCCTTATTTTCAAACATTAGCTCTTTAAAATTCATTGCTGTTAAAAACTCTTTAAATTCTCATTAATCAGCATTAAAGTCATGACCAGTGAATACCACATATTTCAAATGTCATTCCCAGTCAAGAAAAAACGCCCACTCTCCACACTTTAACCTGTTTAACATAAACTTCATAATATAGTCCAACTCTTTATCTAATTCGTATTTAAATATATGATTTTTTAAATAAAAAAGATTTATTATAATTAATTACTTAATTATGCTCGAAATGGCGGTATAAGTACTAAATCATTCCACAGGGGGTCCCTCAAATTATGTAGACCTGATTATATATACAATTAAAAATTCATAGTTTTATTAAAACAGTTTAACAACTTAAACTGGAGTTTAGTAATTAATTAAAAAGATTATCACAAAATATCTTAAATTGTTTACAAATCTGTAACGACATAAATTATAATAAATTATAACGAATTTTACTCTATATTATTCCGATAAAGCTTTGTTTCTGAAAGCTTGGGACCATTTTACTTACATTATTGAAAGGTTCCTTTGAAAGTCAATCGAATTTTAATTCAAAAATTTAAGTTAGCTTTTGGTAATATAAATAAATGTAAATTCTATTAATTATACAAACGTCACAACATAAATCTTCTTCAACCAAAATGTTAAATCAATTATTAATAATGGCCTTGGTAAGTAAAAACTTTCAGTTTAATTATTAGTTTAACATCAATTTAGATATAGTTCAGTTCTAGTTAAGTTCTAGTTAAGTTCTATTTAAGTTCTATTTAAGTTCTAGTTCAGTGCTAGTTCATTTCTAGTTCAGTTCTAGTTCAGTTCTGGTTCAGTTCTAGTTCAGTTCTAGTTCAGTTCTAGTTCAGTTCTAGTTCAGTTCTAGTTCAGTTCTAGTTCAGTTCTGGTTCAATTCTAGTTCAGTTCTAGTTCAGTTCTAGTTCAGTTCCAGTTCAGTTCTAGTTCAGTTCTAGTTCAGTTCTAGTTCAGTTTAGTTCAGTTCTAGTTCAGTTCTAGTTCAGTTCTAGTTCCAGGTTCTAGTTCAGTTCTAGTTTCAGTTCTAGTTCAGTTCTAGTTCAGTTCTAGTTCAGTTCTAGTTTCAGGTTCTAGTTCAGTCTAGTTCAGTTCTAGGTCAGTCTAGTTGCAGTTCTAGTTCAGTTTCTAGTTCAGTTCTAGTTCAGTTCTAGTCATTCGAGTTCAGGTTCTGTTCAGTTCTAGTTCAGTTCTAGTTCAGTTCTTCAGTTTCTAGTTCTAGTTCTAGTTCTAGTTCTAGGTTCAGTTCTAGTTTCAGTTCTAGTGTCTAGTCTAGTTCGTTCTATTCAGTTCGATTCAGTTTCTAGTTCGTTTCTAGTTCAGTTCTAGTTCTAGTTTGCTAGTTCAGTTCTAGTTCAGTTCTAGTTCTAGTTTTCTAGTTTCCAGTTCTAGTTTCTAGTCAGTTCTAGTTCAGTTCTAGTTCTAGTTCAGTTCAGTTCTAGTTCTAGTTTCCAGTTCTCTAGTTGCAGTTCTAGTTCATTCTAGTTTCTAGTTCAGTTCTAGTTCCAGTTCTAGTTCAGGATTTCTAGTTTCTAGTTCAGTTAGTTCAGTTCTAGTTCAGTTCGAGTTCAGTTCCTTTTTAGTTCAGTTCTAGTTCAGTTCTAGTTCAGTTAGTCTAGTTCAGTTCTAGTTCAGTTCTAGTTCAGTTCTAGTTCAGTTCTAGTTCTAGTTCAGTTCTAGTTCTAGTTCAGTTCTAGTTCAGTTCTAGTTCAGTTCTAGTTCAGTTCTAGTTCAGTTCTAGTTCAGTTCTAGTTCAGTTCTAGTTCAGTTCTAGTTCAGTTCTAGTTCAGTTCTAGTTCTAGTTCAGTTCTAGTTCTAGTTCAGTTCTAGTTCTAGTTCTAGTTCAGTTTCTAGTTCAGTTCTAGTTCAGTTCTAGTTCAGTTCTAGTTCAGTTCTAGTTCAGTTCTAGTTCAGTTCTAGTTCAGTTCTAGTTCAGTTCTAGTTCAGTTCTAGTTCAGTTCTAGTTCAGTTCTAGTTCAGTTCTAGTTCAGTTCTAGTTCAGTTCTAGTTAGTTCTAGTTCAGTTCTAGTTAGTTCTAGTTCAGTTCTAGTTCAGTTCTAGTTCAGTTCTAGTTCAGTTCTAGTTCTAGTTCTGTTCTAGTTCTGTTCTAGTTCTGTTCTAGTTCTGTTCTAGTGCTGTTCTAGTTCTAGTTCTGTTCTAGTTCTGTTCTAGTTCTATTCTAGTTATGTTCTAGTTCTGTTCTAGTTCTGTTCTAGTTCTGTTCTAATTCTGTTCTAGTTCTGTTCTAGTTCTATTCTAGTTCTGTTCTAGTTATGTTCTAGTTCTGTTCTAGTTCTGTTCTAGTTCTGTTCTGGTTCTGTTCTGGTTCTTTTCTAGTTCTGTTCTAGTTCAGTTCTAGTTCAGTTCTAGTTCAGTTCTAGTTCAATTCTAGTTCAGTTCTAGTTCTGTTCTAGTTCTAGTTCTGTTCTAGTTCAGTTCTAGTTCTGTTCTAGTTCTAGTTCTGTTCTAGTTCTGTTCTAGTTCAGTTTTAGTTCCATTCTAGTTCAGTTCTAGTTCGATTTTGAAATAAAAGTTTGAGTTTTCATTTAAAATTAAGTTTTTCACTAAAAACTCGATTTTTTACTGAAAATTAGATTTTTTACTGAAAATTCGATTTTTCACTAAAAATTCGATTTTTCAATAAAAAATTACTTTACATAAAAAATTTAATTTTTCAGTAAAATTTCATTTTTCTCTAAAAATTAGATTTTTCACTAAAAATTTGATTTTTCACTAAAAATTCGATTTTTCACTAAAAATTCGATTTTTCACTAAAAATTTGACTTTTCACTAAAAATTAGATTTTTCACTAAAAATTAGATTTTTTATTAAAAATACAATTTGTCACTAAAAATTTGATTTTTCACTAACAATTCGATTTTTGACTAAAAATTCGATTTTTCACTAACAAATTGATTTTTTACTAAAAATTCGTTTTTATGTAAAAACTCTATTTGTCACTCGATTTTGACTTAAAAACTTAGTTTTAACCGTATAACCGATTTTTCACCAGGAAATAAATACACTTTAACACTTTAGATTTAAGGTTCAAGAAGTTACGAACTCTATTGATTTAAATTTCCGTGCCGGATCAATTAGTCATAAAAAGTCGAATTAAAATATTTCAGAGTTATTCTAATTTAATCGTTATTATCTTCTTATTGCAGGCCATTCATGCCAGCGGCATTATAACCGGTCTCTCTGCCAATAGTGGTGCCGTTAGTTGCGGTGGTTTACTATGTCGCCCCATAACCGGTCTATTTACTCGAGATCCTCTGCCCGATGATGCTTATATACATGTTGCTACGATTCCGGCAGGAGCTTCTAATATTTCTATTACTGAATTGAAAAATAGCATGAATTTGTTGGGTGAGTTGGGCTTTGGCACTACAATTGTGTATAAAGTTTTGAATCTAAATTTTGAACTCTAATATTTACATAGTGCTAAGTACTGATGAAGATAGTTATATTATAAATGGTGATAATACGGTTTCGCTGAGTGGTGCATATGAAGCTGCTGGTGCTGTTTTCGACTATCATCGTTTAGATGGTTTGCAAGAGCATGGTGAGGGTGTTACCGAATGGGTTACTTGCACGGGACCCATAAGAGATAATGTGGAATTGATGGTAGAAAGAGAAAGCTAATTGTTTAGAGAACTTTGTTTTTATCGTAATTCAATTAATTTTCCTTTCAGATCTACAGCAAAACTATGAATCCCGGCATTAAATATGAATATTTATTGCCCATTACCTCTGATTCGGAAGAAAATGAAGTATCGTTAGAAAGTGATGGTTTTCTAAAATCCGGAGGAGAAGAAACGTCCATTAGTGCCAGTCATAGTACAAAACGTCGTCGTTACAACTGGAAGGTGGTAGGTTTTAGCACTTGCTCAAAATCTTGCGGAGGTGGCACCCAGACTCCCATCGTAAGGTGTGTACGAGAGAATCCTTTACGTTATTATTCCCAAAGAAGATGTATGCATGCCGAGAAGCCGGTAATCAATGAAAATCTTTTAAGATGTAATACCCAACCTTGCCCAGCTTACTGGCGTTTAGATGATTGGGGTGAATGTCGTTGTCATCACGGCGAGGGATCTAAGGAACGGGAATTAAGTTGTGTACAAGAATTGGCTTCGGGTATTGTTATACATGTGGATAACTCGGCTTGTATGGAAGAGAAACCGATAGTCAAGAAACCCTGTGATTGTCCCAAGAACCGTAGACGTTCCAATCAACGTTATCGTTTACACGGCTTAAGTCCCAATTCCTCACATACCTCTGTTAGACGTAACGAAAGAGCTGGCACTTGGTTAATGTCGGATTGGAATCAATATTGTTCGTCGGATTGTGGTACGGGAGTGGAATACAGAACCATTTATTGTGATCGCTCTAAACCCAATTCGGAAAGATGTGATTTTCGTGCTACTCCCGAAATTACCAGATCTTGTGAACGTTCAGATAATTGTGAGACGGGAGAATGGTTTTCGGGTCCTTGGACGCCCTGTAATGGCAATTGCTTTAATTTGACTAGAACAAGACAGGTTTTGTGTATACAAAACCAATTGATTGTGGAGGATGAAGATTGTAAACCCGAGTTGAGACCGTCCAGTGTAGAGAAATGTTCACATGAAGAAGTGGAATATTGTGGACCTAGATGGCATTATTCTGAATGGTCAGAGGTGGGTTAAATTATTTATTTGTTTTAAAAATATGTCAGATCTGGTTCAGTTCTAGTTCAGTTCTAGTACAGTTCTAGTTCAGTTATAGTTTAGTTATAGTTCAGTTATAGTTCAGTTCAAGTTCAGTTCTAGTTCAGTTTAGTTCAGTTCTAGTTCAGTTTTAGTTCAGATCTAGGTCAGTTCTAGTTCAGTTCTAATTCAGTTCTAGTCCAGTTTTAGTTCAGTTCTAGTCCAGTTTAAGTTCAGTTCTAGTTCAGTTCTAGTTCAGTTCTAGTTCAGTTCTAGTTCAGTTCTAGTTCAGTTCTAGTTCAGTTCTAGTTAAGTTTTAGATAAGTTCTAGTTCAGTTCTAGTTCAGTTCTAGTTCAGTTCTAGTTCAGTTCTAGTTCAGTTTTAGTTTAGTTCAGTTCTAGTTCAGTTAGTTAGTTTAGTTTAGTTTAGTTAGTTTAGTTTAGTTTAGTT